TTCGTTATAAGCTATTCAATTATCGCTTGTTTTATATGTTTTAATATCAAATGAAGCAAAGGGGAGTACTTTGATGACATTTGGGGATATATCCCTTTCCCTTTGTTCATCACTGTCTTGCAATCTGCTTTAATCTTATTATTTATTCTACTATTTCAAATATTTAGACAGTTTATACATCTAAAAAACAAACAAAATTAGTAATCTAACTCAATATTTTAGTGATTTCATTTTAAGACTATTTATTCTCTATTTATTAGTTAACGTTTATTATTTTTTTTAAGATTATCAGTGTTTCCCATACATTGATTTAATTGTGGCGTCTGCCATTAATGGATCTCATAAAAAAAAAAAAAATTATTATTATTTTTTTTTTTTTTTCTGGTAGTCTAATGGATAGTGAGGTGGGCTGATGATCGGAAGGTTGCGAGTTCAAATCCTGCCTGGAACACCACTACTAGTGTGCCCTTGAGTAAGGCACTTAGCCCTCGGTTACTCTAGGGAGAATGTCCCTGTAATTGGTCATTGTCAGTCGCTTTGGAATAAGGCGTCTGCTAAATGCCTGAATTGTAAATGATAATTTTGGGAGAATAAAACCCACAGATCCTCAACTCCAGTGTGTCTCACTCATTAACAACGCAACACAGAGCAACAAGAACGTCTCCACAGTAGCCATGAACTCGCATGTATTATCTTATTTGAGGGGGGGGTGGATGCATGGACCACCCGAATAGGTTAAGGGGCATTTGGCTTTTCTTGCCGGGGGGCGGTGCGGTGCCCCCACAAATAGAATCAAATTCTTTGGGAAACACTGGATTATTATTATTTATTATTCTTTGTGTTTTCTGAAGAGATTCGCTTGTGTATTTATGGCATGCAATCAAGCAAGTCTAGTTGTATTTATGCTGTATGTATACATATTAGTTTGTAGTTTGGACAAAGTACATGCAAGGACAAACTAATTAAAAGTATTAAAGAGAGAAGAAAAGATATAGACAAATGGTGTTCGACCGACAGTCCCAAAGCAAAAGATATTCACCAATCATGAAAGACTGAAAGACAGAAAACAGTCATGACAAAGTGTTGACGTCAAGTGTTGATGCAGTCTGTCCTGATCAACAGGCTAGGAGTCAAACACAACAAGGTAAAGGTCATGTGTGTGAACTCTGTATTTGTTGACTCAGGGTGTAAATATGTTGCAGATGATTGGCCGCTCAACATTTCTGAACAACAAATTAGCAAAACGCCTGACTAGTCTCTCGGTATGTTCTCCGCCCCCCACCCCCCCCCAGTATGAATATTAACAGGCGAGTTGTTTGGTGCGGAGTCACTTTCACACTCGCTATCTTTGTCCAAACGCACACTGAGAGCAGGACGGGAAGTTTCCTCCCACCGGCCAAATGCTGCTTTCTGTCTTCACATGGATATCGACTTTCCTAATGTCTAACCAGTCCATGTTCAGGTGTATCTATGGTGTATTTAGGCTGTATTTACGGTGTATTTAGGCTGTATTTACGGTGTATTTAGGCTGTATTT